GAACTTCCCACTTGCAGATGGACCTGGTTAGTAGGCCTGTGTGAATCGGCAGCGATCCAATCCGGCTTTGGATCCGGCCGCTTTGGATGCCAGTGATCCGACCCGGAGCTCCAGACTGGGTTTCCGCCTCGATCCGGCTGAAGCGGCTCCGAAGCTTCGGAGCTGTCTTGGTGATCTGGCCATAGGGTATAATGGGGAAATCAATGAAATATCTATAACTTTGTTGTTTTTTTGTCTGATTTGGATGATAGTTGCAGGGGTGGTAGCCCCTGCTGAGAGCGTGGAGTCTGCCAAGTTTCAAGAAGATCGGTGCAGGGGTTTGGGGGGAACTGTACCCCAAATTCTTGAAAGCAAAACTCATGTCACATGTATGTGTTACACCACAGGGGGGTGAAAACTGCAGAGGTAGTGGCTCCTGGTGAAGCCACAAAGCCTGCCAAGTTTTAAGATCGGTGCAGAGGTTTGGGGGGAACTGCACATCAAGCTGCAGACAAGCAAAACTCGTGCCATGGGTGACACTTTGTGTGGTAAGGTGCAGCAGGGTGAAAGCTGCACGGATGGTGGCCCCTGCTGCGGCCACGGCGCCTGCCAGCTGTCGAGGAGATCAGTGCAGGGGGGTTCTGGGGCCTTGCACCTCTAACTGCTGACAGACAAAACTCACGCCCTGGGTGCTTGTGCAACTGACTGTCTCTGTCTTGGGGGAGTTGACCGTCTATATTAATTATTTCCTCTCCTTAGTCTCTGCTTTTGTAGGTGTTAATTTATGGTAATTAACTGGCTACATTAGCTAGGTCCTATGTACTGAGCTGGTCCCTGAGTGAATCATGACTGGTTGGTAACTGGGAACCCAGTAGCATAGCAGCCAGGCCTGCAGTAGTGGCTCCCACGCCCCAAGACAGAGACAGTCAGTTGCACAAGCACCCAGGGCGTGAGTTTTGTCTGTCAGCAGTTAGAGGTGCAAGGCCCCAGAACCCCCCTGCACTGATCTCCTCGACAGCTGGCAGGCTTCATGGCCGCAGCTGGGGCCACCATCCCTGCAGCTGTCACCCCGCTGCGCCTTAGCACACGCAGTGTCACCCATGGCACGAGTATTGCCTGTCTGCAGCTTGAGGTGCAGTTTCCCACAAACCCCTGCACCAATCTTCTTGAAAATTGGCAGGCTTCATGTGCTCAGCAAAGACTACAATCCCTGCAAATTTCATCCAAATCAGACAAAAAACAACAAAGTTATACATATTTCATTGTTTCCCCATTATACCCTATGGCCGGATCGCCGAAGCGGCGCCAAAGCTTTTCCGAACCGCTTTGGAAAGCCTGACGAAGCCAGTGCTTCGATCTGGACATGCTGCTTCGGACGCCGAAGCGTCTAAAGCTTCTCCGGATCCGAAGCTCTGTCTGAAGCCTTGTACAGCCCTACTGGTTAGTGCTATTTAGCAATTTAGTTTTTTGAAACCTGGGTAAAAAGGTCCTCTCTCTCTTCGACTGGACACCTGTTAAAGGCTTTTAAAGATTTTAAGATGAAGTTGCTTTTGAATACCAGTAAGATGGTATTAGATGCCTTTAGATAAATGTGCATTTTAGAAGTTTTGATCATTTAAGCAATGTTTAGACATTTATATCTTTTCTGTATTTTGGTTCTGAATTTGCCATTAAGAATGTAGATACTCTTATGCTGTGAGTATTTGATTGTGGTGGGACAGGCTCCTCAAACATTTCTTGGTCCTCAGAATCCATCTGAGGGTCAATACTGGCCCTGCCCCTGCTGAGGGAACAGCTTGTCCTAGTCCCAGTTTGTGCACAGGAGACGATGGGCTGGGACCAACCCAGTAACTCACAGCCAAAGCCCGATCAATCTGACCTCTCTCTGTGTCCAGGGAGCACAGCCGGTACAGCAAGTTGCTCAGGGCCCCAGGCAGGCACCTCAGCTGCAGCAGCTGACAACCTAGTAGGAACAGCTGCACTTGCTGTTTTGCTCAGGCCACCGGGTTAAGTGGGACAAAGATAGCCCATGCCCCCTCCCTCCCCCCCAGGATCTGCTTGCACAGTGCCCTTGCCACCAGAGGGACTGAGGTCCAAGGAAACAAGCTTTCCAGGGTTAAATATTAACAGACCAAGGAGAAACCAGAGCCATCCCAGAGCAGACAGATGGCACAGCCCCAGCCCAGGCCCAGCAAGAACAGGGCCTTAAACCTAGCATTCAGGCTGATGAGGTGGGAAGTAACGGGTAACTGCCAGTCTGCCAGGACGAGCTCCAGCCTGCTGTTCAGCTGAACTTCCTGTTCCTGGCACTGCCTGAAACTGCCTCAGCGCCCTGTGCCGTACCACCCTAAAGCTGCCAATTGGCCCAAGGGACATGCCAGTCTGGCTCAGAGGCTGGGTCCATCAACCCCACAGGGTCTGCAATGGCTCAGAAAGCCTCCCATGCAGTTGGTGGGGTGGGGTCACAATGTGGCTGGCTCACCATGTGGCTCTGTGGCAGGGAATCAGCCATGCACCAGGACCCTTACACAACACCCCAGCCAGGAGCAACCAGGGTCATTAAACTTTGACGGCTCCTATTCAAATCAGCAACAGCTGGGGACACAATGGCCACATTCTGGATAAACAAGGCCTCTAAATTCTGATGGGAGCTGTGGAGTGGACACTGGAAAACCCTCATACAGGACAGACAGCAGCTATCGGTAGCCCAGGGCTCGGTCTGCACCACAGCAGCGCAGCACAGAGCTCCGAGCACATGCACAGTCAGGTGCCCACTGGCAGACAGACACTCCTTCACCCTCTGTCAGCCATCACAGCCGCTGACTTCCATGGGTTGCAATGTGAGGAGTGGTGCAGCTGCTGAGCAGTGCCACACAGGACCAACAGAAGCATGTGGGTGTATACCTGCCTTGGCAACTGCTGTCAGTCACCTGAGTGCCTCTGGCAGAGCAGGGTCATTACCAATGAAGCCTTGAGGGTGTGTGTGGAAGTTGCAGGGACCCTGAAGCTTGAGCAGAACTGAAGGCCATGCTCTCTCAGCAGAGAGGTCCTGTGCAACTGCAGGAGCCACCACTGGAGGGAGAGGAGGAGTTGGATCCTGGACTCCTTAAAGGACTCAGGGCTTCAGCCAAAGAATACTTAGGAGGGTAGGAGGCTGAGCTAGGTGACATTTACCCAGGCCTCACTGCTCCTCTAGCCTTGTGCTAGTTGCTACCAGGAGTGACCAGGTTGTGGAGCCACTGGATGCATTGGCTCCCAGGAGACACCGGATGCATTGGCTCCCAGGAGACACCGTGAGCATGAGTGCCTGCACAGGGAATCAGCTGCTGGGCCACTGCCCCTGTTTTTGAGGGGAGGGAAGAGCTAGTGCTGCAGCCCCCGCAGAACAAGGGAAGCCTGAGCAGAGGCAGACCCAGCCCAGCAGCCTGGGGAGCGCGTCCCTTCCCAAGCTGCATGATGCCAAGATGCAAGTTGTGACCAGTTATAAACTGCCAGTGCAGCGGACCTGGGGACTGAAATCCTGGCAAAATGAACACAGCAACATTGTGATGATGTGAGAGAAACAGGCTGGGCTAGAAGAGGATTAGGCTGCCAGAATTCAGCTGCCCCAAACTTACTGAACAAGGCATGGGAGGGCAGCAGAAAGGGGCTGGCCAGGAAGTCAAGATTCAACTTTCACTCACAGATGGCTTTGGGGCCTCAGGAAAGTTGCTGCCCCACCTATACTTTGGTTTCCCCCACAGCTAAATGGATCCTCATCAGCTCCCTTTGTAAAAGCCTTGCACACAGCCCCAGCTAGAGGAGTATGGTTTGTTACATGGCTGCCCACTGGTCACAGCCATTGTTTCCAGCCCTAGGATAGGAGTTTTCAGGTTCAAATCCCTTCAAAATGCCCATATTTTGCCCCCCATACCACATTATTTTGTCTGCTAAGCAAGTCTCTTCCAGGACAAGTACACTGCCAGATGGTCTGGTAAAAAACATCTGCTGACCCCTGTGAGGATTCAGTTTCCTTTGCACTGCAATACAGGCAACCCCCGCTTAACGCTGTTTTGCTTAGTGCTATTTCGCTATAACGCTTGTTTTACATTGATACCCAAGTTTCGCTTGGTGCTTAGTGAGTTTCATTATAATGCTCATGGTTGCCATCTTGGTTCGTCAAAAACTTTCGGTTTCGCTTAACATTATTTTGCTTAATGCTCGTTTGTTCAGGAACCAATTAAGAGCACTAAGTGGGGATTGCCTGTACTGGCAAGGCCAAGACAATGCGCATTCACAGAGAATGACAAAAAGGAGCAGGGGATAGCCTCAGGGGAGTTTAAGTTCCAAGATCCTGAAGGCCACTCAGAAAAGACTGCCTGAAGGTGCTGACAATGGGCTGAATTCTGCACAAACTACACAAGGCAACACCAGGCCTGAGCAGGCTGGAGATGAACAGGGCTTACAGACAGGAAATTCAACCCCCTGGGAGCACCAGCACCTCTCACTTGTGACCTCAGCCCCAGAAACCAGGGCCCAGTCAAGAGAGTAAATGTCTGTTTTAAGAAACAGACTTGCCTGTCACAGGATTTTTGCTACCTGTAAGTGCTGCAGGAGCTGGCAGTACTGCCACATCAGCTGGAGCATTCCACCAGTCTAGCTACACTCGTCCTGCCTTGGGTGGATGCTGTTGTACTATTAAAACGGTTGCTTTAGAGCAGGAAAGTGTGTATTTCTTCCCAAGTTCACACAGATAACACAGCATCTATACCAGTACGTCAGCTATATACGGTGCCAACCCAGATTTTTTTTTAGGTCTGGGCATGAGGAAGTATGATTTATTATCAGCCAAAGTGTGCTGGCAAAAGCTAGTGGTATAGCTACAGTTACCCCAGCAAGACTGTGTTTTCACCTGTGGTGGGGGCAGGGTGGAATAAGCAGTATGGACACAACTGCCTGAGATGAGCCGAGTTCATACCAAAGGGCTTGGCTGGAATACTGCAGAACCTATCGCTATACAAGCTCAGGAGTTTTGCCAGGACTACTGGCCCTCTATCACCACAGCCCCAACTAGCCTCTGCCCATTTAGGGTCAGGAGCACCCAGCGCTTGTGATTTCAGGGTTTCTTGCACCTCTTGAGGCAGCTGTTCCTGGATACAGAGGCCACGCTAAATAAATGCCTTCCAGTCTGATCACCCATAAGCAAGGTCCCTTATGATTCACAGAGTGAAATACTAGTTGATGATGCTTCTGTTCCTCAGCTTACCTCTGCAGCAGCAGCCTGTGAGGTCAAAACCTGGAGGAACTGTGAAAGCTGAGTGCCCCTCTTACCTTCCTGTTCAGTGCTGAGGCATGCACTGCCCCAGCGTGGGCAGCCTATACAGCCCCTGCCTCTGCTGGGCAATCAACACACCAGGAAGACATATAATATTTTCCTGGGGGCTCTCCGTGTGGAACCTCCCTGTCCCACAAGCAGGGGGTGGCTCCCTTCAGAGCCCCAAGAGGAAGTCACAGACAAAGAAGCATCAAGACGGAATATTCCGCTGTAGCCAGAGCCTGGGGCAGAAACCAAAGTCCTGACTCCCAAGCCCTGCTCTAAACAAAAGGCAGCTGCCTCCTTCCAATAACTGGCTGGTTCCACGCAGAGAGGAACGGTGCCCCTACTCACCCACTCTGCCCGCTGCCTCCGAAAGCTTCTGAAACTGCTCCACAAGGTGAGGTTCTTCTTCGGCCAGCTCCTTCATGGCCTTTTCAAACTCGGCCGTGGCCTGCGATGCCAGCTCGCTGTCAAACAAGTCCTGGAAGAACTTTTCCTGGGAGGCAAACAGAGAGTCCTGGAGGAGAAGCACAATCGTGTGGGATTGTGGGAACTCCAGGCCCTACTCAGACAAGGCTTTCCATGAAGACAGGCAAGCAAACACACAGCTGCCCCCGGGGAAACCAGCAAGAGTCCAACATCCAATTCCGCTGCTGATTCAACCACCTGGGGATCACCTGCGAACAAGCTCTTGCAATAATTCCCAATTTAGCCTCAGAGACAGGCACCTGGGCAAGAACAAACTGGACAGATCAACACTCCAAGTCTTCATAAAAGCCATCCCACAGGTACAGAACATTCTGGGAACAGCAAATGTCAAGCGCAGGCACGTCAGCTGGCCTGCATGGGCACACTTTCAGTCACAAGAGACCAGGTGGCAGAAAAGGCATACGGCTAGCATCTTTATCCCGATTTCACAAACAGGGAGGCTGCCTGCCTGTGGTCACAAAGAACCTGTAGCAGAGCCAAAACAGAAGCCAGGACTTCTGACGGCCAGATCTCGCTCCAGGAATCTGAGCTCAGCCCAGACCCTGCCACAGATGGATCCTAATGCATTTACCACAATGGGAAATATTTCTGGGGACACTTGTTGGCCCACCATGTTTGGAAGTCATGAACTTTACCCCAAGCACCTGCCAATTACTGAGCTTGACTGGACGGGGGCAGCTGTCACTGGACTCATCTTTCAACATGTGCCCCAGCAAATTGGAGGTGTAAATGCAAGACACAAGGGCATCCAGAGCCTGCTTCTGAGGCTGGCAATAAGACCAGTCAACTGCAATGACACGAGATTGAAGAGAAGCGACTACTGAGGTGCCTGGCTCCAGAACCAGACCATCCCACCCACCCACAGTTTCACAGCTGATAGGATCGGAAGGGACCTGAGGAGATCATCTAGTCCGACCCCCTGCCGTGGCAGGAAAGAGTACTGGGGTCAAACGACCCCGGCCAGATGTTCGTTCAGCCTCCTTTTAAAGACCCCCAGGGTAGGAGCCAGCACCACTTCTTTTGGAAGTTGGTTCCAGGTCCTAGCCGCCCTGACAGTGAAATAGCGCTTCCTAATGTCTAGCCTGAAACTACCCTCCGCTAGCTTGTGTCCGTTGTTTCTTGTAACTCCCAGGATTGCTTGGGGGACCAGGGACTCTCCCAACGCCTGCTGGTCCCCCTTGACTAGTTTGCAGACTGCCACCAGATCCCCTCTCAGCTTTCTCTTTTGGAGGCTGAACAGGTTCAGGTCCTTCAGCCTCTCCTCATAGGACCACCCCTGATCATGCGGGTGGCCCTCCTTTGGACCCTCTCCATATTGGCCACATCCCTCCTGACGTGCGGCGCCCAGGACTGGATGCAGTACTCCAGCTGCGGCCTGACCAGTGTCACACAGAGGGGGAGGATCACCTCCTTGGCCCTGCTCGTGATGCATCTGTGGATGCACGACAAGGTACGGTTGGCCTTCCTGACCGTGTCCCCACACTGTCGGCCCATGTTCATTTTGGCATCAATAATGACTTCAAGATCCTTTTCTGTCTCAACACTGGTGAGAAGGGAGTTCGCCAGCCTGCAGGTGTGCTGCTGGTTCTTCCTCCCCAGGTGCATTACCCTGTACTTGTCAGTGTTGAACCCCATCTTGTTCTCTTCGGCCCACCCCTGTAACCTGTCTAGATCCGCTTGCAGCCTGTTCCTTCCTACTAGCGTACCCACTTCACCCCACATCTTAGTGTCATCTGCGAACTTGAACAGGGTGCTTTCTACCCCCTCGCACAAGTCACTGATGAAGATGCTGAATAGTGCGCAACTGTCCCCTGCACAACTGGGTGGGAGAAAATGCTACGTGTTCCCAGTTCAACAACTCTGCCCAAGCTTAAGACAAGGGAAATACTTCCCCATACCCTTCCAGCCCATACAGCCATGGGTGGTCACTGCTCTTACTTTGGCAGCATCGCTAGGAGACTTCTCAGCACTGCTGGCATCTCCTGCTCCGGCAGTCGCTGGGGGTGGTGGGGCCGGCTTGGTCTTGTCAAAGTCATCAAGAGCACCTTCAGGGCAAAAGCAGAGAGTTCAGATGAGGGGATAAGACCACACAGGTCCCAGACAAGGGGGAGATAAGGGAAGTCAGACCAAGGCCACAACACCAGGGCAGTCCTGAGCAGCATGACATGGAGGAAGCCACCCAAGACGTTTGCAGTTCACTACGTGTCTTTGGATGTCACGTATAGAGCCATACTCTGCACCAGTGCCCAGCCAGTCCCTCGCGCTGCTCTCCAATCTAAGGGGATTCAGACCTGCTGCGGATGAGATGCAGCTTCAACTGGGGACAGAGGGATGCGAGCACACCGTCACCAACCTACGGGTGACATAACTGTTCCTTCAGTCGCACCAGATGCATTTGAGCCTGACCTGCCCAGTCGTAACTGCAGCCATCCCTGCCCAATGTCCCCGAGTGAGGGGCGGTGAAAGGATTCAACTGGCTCTGAGTGAATGCGACACAGCATTTGCGAGAGGATGCGACAGCCCCTGACCTCCACGGGGACTGCCCTGTGCTCTGAAATCCCACTCCTACTTTTAAATCAAGCTCTTCAGGCTCAGGCTGGCACCCCCAAAAAGGCCGTTGCAGAAGCCGGGACCCAGGCGGCTCAGCATCCCAACAGCCAAGGCGGGAGGAGCCGGCACGGCCAGACGGCAGCTCCGCTCCCCTCCCGAAGCACTTGGGCCCCTATTGCTTCGCTCGGGGGTGCTGATCTTCGGGGACCCCTGGGTTCAAATGCTGCTGGCAGTCAGCGCCTTAAAGCCAGGTTCAGCTGCAGCACCTGGAAACGCCGACTGCTGTGCTGACAGGAGGGGTTCGCCTTTCGGATGCTGGCGCCTGCCCTAGACCTCCGAGAGGCCCGTCGGACACCCCCATACGCCAGCCCCGCACACGGCTGACCAGGGCAGCGCTCCCAAGAGGCGCCATCGTGGAAACCGTGTCTCACACACACGTGCCATTTGCACCTCTACAAAGAGCCGTGTGTTTTGACCTGCGGCACGTGCGCGTGCCAAGAAGGGAACGTCTCTGATGGCGTGACAACTTCGGAGGCTGGCGTCTCTCCCATATTGCAACAAAACAAAGGCACACCAATTGCCTGGAGAAGACAGGGGGTGAATAGCTGCGGGGGGTGGGGGGGGTGCAAAGAGGATGGGGCCGGAGGGAGAACAACACAACCCTCTTCCTCGCGGGCCGGGCAGCCGTGCCGTGCCGGGGGGGGGGGGGGCACAA